GAGGCTAAAAAAGTGGTTTAAAAAAGCCAACCGAGTTGTGATCCATTCACTTCCATTGCCTCCTTAGCATCATCTGGATTTCAAAGTCACAAAGCCAAACCTCTTGAGGCTCCATTTTCATCCCTTGCTACAACCAGGCTAGCGATTTTTTCCCGAACTCGGAAAATTTCTCTTGCAAAGTCTCTTCTTTGATATCTGAATCCAAATCCTTAATTACAAATTTGTATATTTGACATCAGGACTTGGCAAAACCCGATCACTCTTTTTCATAAACTTCCCAACATATCTGAGCAAAAGAAATAATAATACAATTTTAATAATTTCCAGAGCAGAATTCAAAACATCAATACACATAAGAATTTCATACATCTGCTTATCCCAAACAATGGTGTTATTCAGCTTCTCGATAGCAGCATTTGCAGATTCCTCTGACTCAAACTGAACAAACCCATAACCTTTACTCTTCCATCCTCAAAGGTTGCAACTTGCAAGATATTACATTTCCAAACTGGCGGAATAACTCTTGCAGCCCCACATTATCAATTGAATCACTCAGATTCTGATATGAACAGATACACTTTCAAATTCAGAATTCCAAAACAAATGGAATCTTATTTAGTATATTATTAAAAGGAATCGAAATTGAATCACTCAGATTCTGATATGAACAGATACACTTTCAAATTCAGAATTCCAAAACAAAATGGAATCTTATTTAGTATATTATTAAAAGGAATCGAAGGATTTGAACCTTAACAAACACATTTCCAACTTCATTTTTCCTTGCATCAGGATCTCGAAGTGACCACATCACCCTTATCATTTTCCCATTCAGCAAAGTATGGTTTTTTGCCTCAATAGCATGTTGTGCTAGTCACATCAGAAAAGGAAAAATACAGAATATTTTAAAGATGGATTTCATATAAAAATACGAAAAATAAACATACAAAATCCAAACATAATGTACTCAACTATGGTAGATACTAAGAAATAATTTCTTAATTTATACTAGTATTTCTCTTAAAGACCAGAAAAACATATTCAATGTGATTGTGGATTATGATTTGCCCAAAAAACTTTAAAATTGAATATACCATCGTAAAATCTTCAACATATACTGTATCTGACACTCATCCATCGATCAACACAGTAATATTGGAGGAAATAAACTGTAATTTGAATAATTCACCCATGGTTTAATAGAAACAATAAAAATAAATCATAATTCTAACACCAGGCAACAGAAAATTTATTAAATATTTTCATTGATCGAAACTAAGGTAAGCATTAAACATCGATCAAACAGCAAATTTTTGAAGATCAAACGAAATCAAAAACCAAAATCCCAAACCCTAAATATTTCACATCCTCAGATGCCAAACAGAAAAACACTGAATATTTGAAAAAAACGAAAGAGAGAAAGAAGGTAATAAGGAATCCGGCATACCATCCTGAGGAGAATGAAGTTGACATAGCCATAACGAAGAGATCTCCCCGTAGAAGAATCCCTACAGACAGAGGCCAGCTCTTGAACTCAAGAAAGTTTCGATCAGTTAGCGTCAGAGACGTCGGGGTGCAAGTCCCACGTACAACGAAACAGGCGAAGCCTCCACCGTCATCGCCGCCGCCGATGGAACCGACATTGTGATTAAACGTAATTCCCACTTCTAAAACTGCAAATATTTCACCTACTTCCTTTTGTTATTTACAGAGTGATTAATGACGAGAATTTGGGAGTTTTTTTTTTTCCTTTTCAAAGAGAATTTTGCATGGACGCAAGGAGAGCAGTTTGGGACGTTCAACTATAAGGAAATGCAACGCACCCGTCGCGTTATCCTACGCGGCCTTTTCAGTGCGTTTTGACCGCTGAATTATTTTTCTTTTGTATATTAAATATTCATAAATTGAGTAGAAATGTATCTAAATTTAATAATTTAATTTAAATAATTAAAAAGAGTAATTAAATTCTTAAATATTTCTTAAAATATTTCAAGAGATGCACATTTAAAAAAATCGACCAATGTCTAGTTTTTTATTTTCTATAAAAAATAATTTTTCATGAATCTTGATTTAATTAAAGGGATGGGTGAATATTTTATCCATTGTTTTTAATAGTTTTTTTTTTAAATAGTTTTGGGTAAGACTGGGTTCATGTAATGTGAAAGTCCAGACGCAATGGCGCGTGTGGAATATTGGAGGCCTGTTTAATTTTGTTTTTGTTTCCGAATTTTAATGTGTTCAGTAAAAAGACCAAAAAAAGGTAAAATGGGGGCCTAAAAGACTGCTTCAAAACAACTCATTCTTTTGTAGCTCCCACTGTAATTTTTGCAAAGTTTTAACGGCCTCAATTTGTACAATTGTTTGTACAATTGCCACGTTAGGGGTGGCAAAAGAGTCGGATTTTTGGTAAGCCCGACCTGACCTAAAAATATTTATCTTTCATATAAATTTGATTTGATTTGAAAATTATATACATTTCGTTTCATCTGAAATATATAATTTCTTACCTGACTTTGACCCGACACAATTTTAGAATATAATCTGACCTCCTCGAGATTGTATAAATAAAATTAAATGAATTTTTTTAAAAGAAATTACATTATTATCTTCGGGTAGGATAGAGTTGAAGTTTTCCATCTTCTACTCTAAAAATTTAACTCAACCCGATCCGAACCCAAATATTTTTTTAAATCTGACTCTATCAAATCAAATCGAATAAAACTTATTAATTTCGGGTTAAATTTTTATGTCACGTCCTATTTTACGGTAACATACTCTTCAACTTTTGTATCCTCGTTATATAATTTCCATTCTTTTACTAGTTTTTCTTTTATATAAATAGTTTTTAAAGAAAAAGATGTATTTATAAACAAAAATAATTATTATTGGTTAAATTTTATTCTCGTATAATAAATGTATTTTCTTTATTAATAATATTTTTATTCTTAAATTTTATAAATTTTCGTTTAGCATATTTTAATTAAATTGTTAATTAATTTTTTATAAGAAATTTTTTTTGATTAAAGGACTCGTTAAAAAGCTCTCTTAAAACCTATAGGGGAAAGAATGCTCAAACTTCATTAACTTGAAATACATCTTTTACAATATGGATATTCATGCATACAGGGGCGGACTTCCATAGAGCTCGGGGTATCCCGGGCAACCCCTCATCCAAGGGTGGATCTCTATGGTGCCCGGATATCCCAAGCAACCCCTCCACAAGTGCCATCCCTAATCCAATGCCACCCCTCAAAAGTATTACCCCTGCAGCTCTTGCAACCCCTGACGAAGGCTCCTGGTCTGCCTCTGCATGCATAACCTGAAGAAAGAATCACTCTCAATAAGCACATGAAATACCCAACTCACTGATTAATTGCAAGCCATAACATAAAGCATGAGTTTCCACACAACTGGCTACACGGGGATAGTCGATTGGTTTCGCCTTTCCAGGTAAGACGAACCCATCATGATCACGTATCAGCAACAATAGCCAGGGTCGATCATCGGACGGACACGCCACATCAACATTAAGCTTAACAAAGCTCGAAGGCAGTTTTAACCAATGATCGTATGGTTAAGGAGGTCCGATTCCGACGGGAGATCAGCATATCACTATCAAAAGAAGACCACATTACCTTACAAGAAACAATCAACCACCCAGGTAATAGTTGATGCTCATGAACAAATATATTGCGTCGATGCCAGATTTGCGATAAAAGCATGATGGTAAATGTAAACAACTGTGTTTCCAAAAGAGAGTGCAACGTTTCGAGCCAAGTCCCACATGAATCAAACACGCCGGAAGTCACAAAAGAAGGAAGGCCGACCATTAAAAAGATCGGTCGAACTGTCTAACAGTCACACAGAGAATGCATGACAGTTCTCAACAGCACCACAAAGATAACACCGGCCCTCAACAATCCCCGCAAGGAAAAGACGACGACCAACTGGAAGAGCTTCATGAGCAGCTCGCCATCCGAAAAGTTGAACCTGAGGGACAGTAGGTAACCGTGAAATAACAAGCCAGAGTTTCGACGGAGTAGGAACATATCAGTGTTGCCGAGAAACCAAGCAACCCGATTAAACAGTGTAGTTCCCAGAGGAGTGGCCTTCCCAAATCAATAAATCCGACCAAACCGGAGCGATAGGACAGTTCAACACCATGGAAGCAGCATTAGAAGTAAAAACTTGTCAGATAAGAACCACATTCCAGCGAGCTTCTCCATAGACCATGAACTCACCAATACGAATAGGAGTTACCAAATTATCAGTGTACTAGCTTGCAACTGAACAGGAGCAATATGAATCGTAATTTAATTGTTATATTTTGTTTTAATTTTATACATGTTTTATTTATAATTGTTTATTTAAAAGTATTTTATATCATAATTTGAACTATTATTTAATTTAATACTATACATGATGTATCTATTATATTTTTTACTATAAAATATATGCGGATAAAATAGTATACATGTGTATTAAAATGAAACAAAAATTAAACTTTAGGTATGATTTGAAAAAGTTGAAAGTTCAAGCACTGAAATGGACTAAAATTAATAGTTTAGTTTTAATATCTAAACTATCAGTTTTGGTCTGTTTTAGTACCTAAACTTTTATTTTTTTTAAATTATACCTGAAGTTTAGTTTTTATTTTACTTAGTATCCTACCATTAAATACTTTATTTTTTGTTTCATTTAGTACTTTGTTCAAAATTTAACGTTAAGTTTTGAAAAATTTAAAAGTTTAGGTTCTAAAATTGATCAAATTAATAGCTTAGACACTAAGCGCGTTAGAGGTTTTTAATGCAATGCACTCAAATGAAATGAAAATTGTACGTTTAAGTATGTTTTTGAAAAATTGAATTTAAGTACTAAAACGGAATTAAACTGATAGTTTTGATACTTAATGCGTAGTTTACCCTATAATTTGTCCTATATACTTTTAATCTTTTATTTCAAACAGATTTTCGTGCAGCATTGAAGAAGCCACGTAACATATTTGAAAAGTCCCTTCTATGCCTAGAAATGAGGGAGTAATTCGCTTGAACACTCCCCATTTCCAATCGGGCCATCTGGGCTTCAATCATCCATGGCCACGCTAGCGAGAAAACTGCCTTCATCGTTGCCGTATTTTCTTCATCCCGATTACCGGATTGACGGAGGGAATCTCATCTCCGTTGATGAGCCATGGCGGATCCGGATTCAGGTGGGCCTCCTATTCATCTTCCTCTTCGTCATCAACAACCACGACGTGTTCGAATTCTTCATCATCTAAGCGGGAGAAGAAGATAACTGACCGTCTATCAGCCGTTATAGACGCCGTCAACGACCGGAAACTTCCTCCCGAGCTGCGTGGCCAACGCAACAACGTCAGGTATGTATGTGTTATTTGGTTTATTTGTATTTTTCTTCATATCAGATTATAAAACGCAATTTCCAACTAAAACTTGTCGAATTCTCAGAATTTTGATTCATCACGGACAAATTTTTCATATCTACCTTAATTATTTTGATTTCTTCATGATCCTTCCATGCTAAATGATACCTGAAATAGGCTATGCAGTTGGGCTTTGTAGGTCATCTTCCTTGTCGAAATGGATATTAACTAAGCTTATAGTTTAATGGGATTGGTTCTATATTTTGGTACCTTAAAAACCAGGGATTTAAACAGCGGTCCACTATCGGAATAGCTGTCGCTATATAGCAGTAACAGTTCCATTCGAAACTGTTATTGTATGACGGTGAGCTGCAGTGACTGCAATAGTATCCATTATGTCCGGAATAATGATAAACGCAAGACAACCAAAAACACATCTGTAACCGTAATTTGAATCCCCGTTAAAAACTGTTGAATTTGGTCTGTGGTATGCTTTTGAAAGAAGGTGGCTATGGGGTTAATGCTACCATTGTTAATCTGGAGAAAGACTTTGGAACCTATGCATACTGATGCTTTAACTCAATTGAATGATTTATTTTCATAGTAAAAATATTAATATTTTCAAGATTTTTTCCAATATGATATCTACCTTTTTAGAGCAATAACATTGTTGGGTTCTTTATTGAGATGAAGTTCTTTCATGTAATCATTTCGAATAGGTCGGAGACCGATATCATCAATGTAGTTGAGCAAAGAATATGGCATTCAATGGAAGAGGGTCAATTCGAGAATTTACCGGGGAAAGGCAAACCTCTTAACCTCAACACGAATCCTCACGCAGATCCAGCAGAAGACACCCTCTATAGGATTCTATCAAAGAATGGATGTGCGCCCGAATGGGTAGAACTTAACAAGGAGATCAGGGGCAGAGTATCCGAATGGCGAGTTGCCTTGGAGAAAGCATGGAAAAGCAAATGCAATGGGGATGATGAAAAATGGTCTGAGCGATGTGAATCATTAAAGATGCAATTACGTGACATCAACGATAAGGTAAGCCTCTCATAAAAACGATGTGATTCTTTTGTATTTTAGGCTTAATTATGTGTCTCAAGAAAAATGTATGTGCTTGGATTGCAGGTTTTCCGGTATAATTTAATAGTTCCGTTCGGCCGTCAAATGTTCGGACTGAAATGGGAAAAAGAAGTGGCTCGCCTAGAAGAACAAGTAGAGCCTTAATATCTCCTAGCCATGTCTGAACCAAAAGAATATGAGTATACATTTTGATTTGAGTTAATGGATTGAATGAAGGAAGAATCAACCAGATGGTCATCAAAGCAATACTGTTTTAATACACAAATGTAGGGGTGGTTTTGGATCAGGCTGTAATGCTTGTTTCAATAGTCTTTTTTAAGCTGGTATTATCGATTATATCATCTTAATCTAATGGTGATTTATCTCTTTTGATTTGGGTGAAGAAATGAGAAATGATAGTGAGCTGAAAAATGTTCAATGGAGCTAAGATATCAAAGAAGAGAGGGTTCAGATTTCTTTTTCAACCATGTATGGTTATATACTCATCTTCAACGTCGGTGTCAGGTTTAGGATAATGATGAATATGTGTAGATTGCCAAGGTTTGTTGATATTGTTATCAATGTTATCATATAACGGGTGACCACTGAACTATGGTCATTAACCATTTTGACCACCAACGTTTAAAAACGATCAAACATACCATCGAACTATTTAAATGATTCAATCTAACAACTAGCCGTTAATTTTTAACAGAACTGATGACGTGACCTTTAATAAAATTTGTATAATTATATATTTAGTCCTTAATACTTACGTAGTTTTTCAATTTAGTCACTATTTTAATTCATTCAAAAAAATTAATCCTTCAATCCGAAGGTGCCATGTGTCACTATATCATTGGAGGGTGAATAGAAAGTGAGCTTAAGGAGTTTCTGAACTAGTGACCCCTTGGCTCAATGGATATGGCTTTGCCGATGGGCTAGGCCATTCAATTGGTTTTTAGTTACACAGTATTCTATATGTTGTGTTTAATATTATTTCATATATATAATTTAAAATATTAAACTCATTTTCTGTAAATAATTTAACTTAATTTAAAATGATTTTAATATTTTTAATGTTTAAGTTAAATTATTTTTATTTTGTAATTTGGATTCTCTAAATAATTTTAAGATATAATATTATTTTAAAATAATCGTAAAATAATTAAATAAAATATTAAACTCTGTTTTATACATATATATATATGAAATAATATTAGACACAACATATACAACATTGTGTAACTGAATGGCCTATTCTAATGGCAAAACTATATTCATTAAGCCAAGCGGCCATTGGTTTAAAACACCTTAAGCTCACTTTCTATTTAAAATAATTTCCTCTTACATAGCATGGCCACTTAATTGGTTAAAAATTTTATTTAATTAAAATATTAAAATAAATTAAATTCAATTTTATTAACGGTTACGTCATCACTTCTGTTAAAATTAACGGTCAGTGGTTGGATTGAACCATTTAAATAATTGAGTGGTCAGTTTGATCAATTTAAATGTTGGTGGTCAAAATGATTAATGACTATAGTTCACTAGTCACCAGTGTAATTTACCCATAATTTAAGTCTCACGATGATTATTTATAACTTGTCGGGGTTCGTAGATATTATTGCAAGATACAAATTTGATTATGACATGTCACGTCAACCAAAGAATGATTTCAATAAAAACTGCAATCGCATGGATGATATTAGAATCTGAAGACCTCGATAGACGAAGAATCAATTGCGGAAGAGATACAACACTTATCATCTTTGATCGAGAGAATATCATAAAATAATTTCAATCGAGACGTCTATATTAAAGCTTTTACTGCATTAATGGCCTATCAACCATTTACAATACCACAACTACTACTACATTTATGATTCTTGGATTTCCCATCCCTGAAACGATCCCTTTCAAGATCATATATGATATATGGTTATGCATGCTGCATTATTGATATTATTTTGAGTCTTTTATAGTAGTATGACAATACACATATGTATACACACGTGGATAACTTTTTTTTCTCCCCATCCCAGTTTCTCTTGATAGAAACAATGCAAAGCAAAATTAAAAATCGAACAAAACAGACCACAAGGATTTAGTTCACATGTTTGGTTTGTGCTTTTCACCCTACAGGGGACAATAGACAATTAGGGTACAGAACCGCAACCATCTCCGGCTGCCTTGATCATGCAATAGGAGATGTTTTAGCCGCAAGGTGGATTAGAGCACGTCGGTGGTAACTAGTTCGGAGCTTCTTGTACTTCTGCACGAAAGTCCCTATATCGATCTCCTGATCGAGGAGCTGCTTGTTCATCATGTCTGATTCCTTATCTGTCTCATTGATTGCATCTACAAAGAGGAAGCCACCATAATTTTATTCTTATAATCGATGATTTCGAGCCTAAGCCTTGGGAGCAAATTATCAGCAACGATTACCTTGAAGCCTGTTGATAAATGATGCAGGAGAGTAGAACTTCAGGATTTCTTCTTTCTGGCTCTCGAGATCGTTTAGTTTCTCCAGAGCTGCTGCGAGTTCCGTGGTCCGAATAATTTGGCACTGTTGTCATAAAGGGAACAAAATGTTTTACAAATAGATAATCTAATAATATTAATCAATGGCAAAAAACGTATACAAGATGTGCTGAATATTTCACCTGGTTTCTTAGCTCCATCATTTGTGGTTCTTTATCCAAATTGTTCCCTGTTTATTAAGATAACAAAAATTAGCATTTTGTCTGCTGAAAGAGTTGCTATTTTATAATATGATTATCATATATTGATAGATCTCACTAGCAAGCTGCAAAGTTTCCTTCCGGAGTTCATCTCTTATCTGGTAGAAGTTACAAAGACGGAGTAAGAAGCGAAAGAAATGACAAAATATGGTAATGACAAACAAGGTTTTCTCAATGTGTACACGTGCAGGTTGACCCAATAGTATTCCTACACGAGAGATAACTAAAAGAGCAATCACATCGTGAGACCAGCAAGGGACTAGAACAGTATGTGCACAAATGAAATGAAATTCGAATACTGATAAAGGTTCCCGATTAACAATGAGTCGTGAAACACAGCAAAATGGAAGAAACAAGGGTTAACTAACAGAAATGACCATGGGTTCATTCTAGTTAATTTAAAAATATATATATTATCCCCAAGACCACCATAGCCAAGAGTACATCATCTTTGGCTAGGTATTTGGAGTTGAGATTTAAGAGTCCTTTAGATGATCTTTTGTCTGAACATAATAAGCATATGCAGATCTTTCAACAACTATTTTAAAACTCACGTAATATTTAGGCCTTTTCCTTATGTTAATAATTATGTGCCAAATATGGCATAAATGTTCTGATTTTCTCGTTAGCAATAGACCATCAATCTCATCAAACCCACTAGTTAACCAAAACCCTTGTTTATACTTTATTCTATGGACTAAAGACTAAAGACAAACCATAAGACCCTGAGACCAGAGGAGAAATCCACTATCGAATAACAAAACAAAAAGTGCAAAAAATGCATAGATCATTTGAAAAGGTGAAATGAAATAAAATAGGGTAGATTTTACTACTCACATTGTTTTGAATTTTAACCTGATTCACTGATAGTAGGAACTGATTGTATGCATCCTTGTCAGACAAAAGCTTCCGTAATTCATCAACACTAAGAAAATAAGAAAGTCATTTGGAGTTGCAAGATGCATTCTTAAGAAAAACAATCACTTTTCCTTGAGTAAATTCCAAACATTAAGTCAAGAAATGAATAAATAAATAACAGAGAATAATAGATCATTAGTAAAGCACAAAAATAGTAAGGAGGAATTAGAATCTTAATTTCTTTCATAAAAGGAAATGAAAATTTCCTTGCCAATAGCCCAATAGCAAGGTGGAGAGCAAGAACCAGATATCCCACCTTTTGTCCCTTAAAAGAGCAATGATTCCTGCAGCTTCAGAGGGTGAAACTTGTGAGGGAGAATGTGGCCTTTCCGCAGGTCTCTGTCCGCTGAAGCTGTTAGAAGCACCGGTACTTGGTGTGGATGGCTGGGAAGTATTAGGAGAGCTAACACCAGGAGGAGGATACCAAGAATGTGAAGAACCCTCTTGTGGACGTGGCTGAGCTTGTTGCTCCTGTGAACCCCTGCAACATGATCAAAATTTAGAGAAACCAAATATACATGTCACAGAGTATTCCAACGGAAAAACAACTCCAACTGAAGTTAGAAAGGTCAAGATCGAGTTATAACTTCAGATCAATATCTCCCAAATACGATCACAACACAAATTAAGTACCTTCACAACTTTCAAAACCGAAACAATTTCTATACCATTTGAAAGAGTAACCCCTACTCAACATAAGGTGCAAATATTGCCGTTGCATATTAAAGCAACCAGGTAATAGCAGAAAAACACATGAATCATGTTACACTTTAGAACTTATCCTAAAATGATAAGCAATTAAGAGAGCTTACTCAAAACTGATAATGCAATTCCACATTATGCTTAAATCCCACATTATGCTTACTCAAAACGGCTAATGCAAGTTCCATTTATGCCATGTGTGCAGAGCACCTCTCATTTATTCTATTTTAAACAACAACAAATTTGGAAGAAGAAGAAGAAAAACGAACACTTTTGGTCGGCTGCAATTTCTAATCCAACTAAAACATGTTCTTATTTCTATGAAAATACAATAGCCTAACTCCCCTTTAGCATAAATTTTGGAAGTAAATGGCGACTCTTATAGAGATTAATAGACAAAAAAAAAACCCAAAATCAAGCAAACCCACAATTACATTAATACAAAGAACATCAAAAAGCCCTCAAAATTAAGCTGAATCGAAATTCATAACATCAAAAGAACAAAAGAGCGAATAAATGGAATCCGATTATCCAAACAAATGAAAAGAGATTAAGGAGGTAACGACAGAGAACGTACCAGAACCTGAACATAGCTCGCGAACGGATCGGATTGTTGATTGTGGGGTAATCAATAAACTGGGCTTGATCGGAACCCTAAAGAGAGAAACGACCTTAATCGATTGAGCCGAAAGACGAAGAAAAGGTTAATTGTCCCTTACTCTGTAAGGAGATATTATTTCGGATTTTTGTTTCAACCAAAATGAACTCGTTGGGGATCCATATTTTTATGGAGACTCTACGAGTTTTTTTTTTTTTAAGTTTTTGTTTCCACGTGGTAGGTTGTTATTGGTTTGAGAATGCGTCCGAGGACGAAGCATCAGAGACGAAGGTACATGGAAAATATAGCACCCCCTTCGCACCGTCTTCTTATTTTGAATAATTTATTTAAGGGTAAACTACGTATGTAGTATTTAAATTATCAATTTTATTTCGTTTTAATATCTAAACTTTTGATTTTTTTCAAATTATACCTAACATTTAGTTTTTGTTTCATTTTAGTGTCCTGAAAAGTCAAAGGTGACTTAGTTTCCATGGTTTACGGTCATTTAAGTTGGTAATGCTTGGTAAAAAAGTATGACAATTAATTCAACACCCGGATTGCTTGTTGGCATGAGTATGAAAAGTAGAGTATTATCCAAATAGTGATATACTTGGTGATAATGTTGGTAACAAAAGCTCAGAAAGGTATTCAAAAAACTATTTAGGCTTTTTCAGGTGTATTGTATTGGAGAGTTTTCCCTTATCGAAGATTATTCATCTATTCCCATGTAGCAGTTACATGAATGACATTTCATGCATAAGGGGATCGTCTAGCTGGAACGAATCAAGGGCACGTCACATTTTTAACTCCATTGACTCTTACTTGATTTTGTTGATTTCCATTGTCCCAATCCAAAGAGATGTGATCATATGGGGTAATCATGATTTCAATATATGTTCTGTCCATTCAGGTTAGCCTCCCAATCATTCTCTGACATCTGTTTCTAAAGTTTGAAAATTAGTTGTTAAAGTATTGATCCTGCCTAAGATTAAGATATTTGATTGGAGAGTGGTGCATGGTGAGTTACTGGTTGGCAAGTGGTTACATGAAGCTGACTTAAGTGATGGCCTTTGTCCAATGTGTGGTTTGGAAGAAGAAACGGTAGTTCATATTTTACGGGATTGCTCTTGTGCCCAAAAAACTTTTATTTGCGCTGGTATGCAGGATACGTTCTTGTCCAATTAGCTTGTTTCTTCATTGGATTGGTTAAACTCGATGATTACTAATACAGATCTAGACAACCTTGCTCGCTTTCTTGTATTGTTTTGGAACCTCTTAAATGTGAGGAATTCCAAGGTGCATGATAACAAGATTTAGTCTCCATGGATACTGACCACCAATGTTGCTCCCTTCAGCACGACTACCTCTTGACCATGATGTAGGTGCCGGGGAGAGCAAGGACTTTGCGGTTTTTTCTAGGAGCAGTCTCATGTATTGATCTGCGAAGTGGCAAACTTCCCCTCCAAATTATGTCAAAATCAATCTTGATGGTGCTTTTTAGCCTATTGGGTGTATAGCTATTGAGGGGGTTATTGCCCGAGGTTCTGTTGGCCCGGTGTTTGGCGGTTGTGAGCACCACTTTTTTATTTACTATATCTCATGCCCATCTTCCACCAAGCTTCCACCATCCCATTTCTTTCCACCAAGCTTCCATTATCATATTTCTTTCCACCCACTCCGCCACCCCAACGTTCCACTAATCATAAACCAACAGAAAAGATTAAAAAAATATTATCATTTATCCACTAAATTAAATCAAATCCAGAAAGTGGATACGATGTCCTACCACTATTTAGTGAAAAATCCACTACATAGCAAATATAAATGGTGGCTCATTAGAAGCAAAGAGGGGGAGGTTGGCTTGAAAATCGATCAGGAAGGAAGAAAAATTGGGAGACAGATCGTTGGGTTAAAGGGCTAATAGCAGCTTTGGTCCTCATAGCTCTGTAATCTCACATGCATATTCTTCAACGATTGGGGAAAACCGTAGTTTGGTCCCTGCCCTCATAATATCACGTGTACACCATGCATATAATGAAATTATTTTCTCTTGATTTGATCCTCAAAATTTTCTTATATTTCATTTTAGTCACTAATTATTAGTTTTGTCTTATTTTCATTTAGAGGTCGATTGAGATGATTTCGGGGTTACTATGTTATGGGTGCCCTCGTTGGAATCAAGACCATTAGAATAGAAGAGGTCTCTTGGCTAGGTCTAGGCTTGCTCGGTCATTTTGGTGACTGTGAAGAGAGAATAACGTCGGTAGGTACATGGTGTGAAGGACCTTGGAGCTTCCGGTTTGAAAAGAAAATAAAGAGAACGATTTACTAAGTATTAAGTTTAGTTTAGCTTACCTTACTAGTGCATGGTAATCGATTTGGAGAAAGAAAGAGTACAAGAAAAAGGAAGGGGTTGAGAGCAACAGAGAAGGGAACCAGGCGCAAGAAAAATAAAATGGGTTAAAATTGGGTTAGTAATATGACAATAATTGTTTAATATTCTAAGGCTAAAATTGGGGGTTAATCAAACCTAGGGATGGCAATGGGTCGGGTCGGGTTTTTGGGCCACCCGGACCCGACCCGAGAAGAAAGGGTTTTCACCCGTGACCCGACCCGACCCGACGAAATTAAGGTTTCACCCGACCCGACCCGACCCGAATATATGACTTAGAAACCCGACCCGACCCGACCCGAAATAAAAAAAAAATTTATTCAATGAAAACAGTGACTTAATTGAAAAAAATTATATATGGAGGGACATTATTGTAATTATCCCTAAATATATAGGATAAAATTATATATATTTTTCGGTCGGGTCAGATTTTTTCACCCTAAACCCGACCCGACCCGACCCGAACAATACATTTAAAAAAAACCCGACCCAACCCGACCCGAACCTGAAATTTTTTTAAAAAAATCCAACCCGATCAGGTCGGATCGAGTCGGAACCCGTCGAATTCGGGTTGAGGTGCCATCCCTAATCAAACCCACGTAGGTGGCCACTCCATTTAGTGTTTTATAACTTTTGTTTTTTAATTTATGGTTTTAACCTTAGATTTATTTGCTTACCACGTGGATGGCTCCAAATTCATTTATCTTTGTTAATTTGTGCCCAAAGTTAATTACTATTGTTTGTACGCGTTGTCCTTGTTTTAATTTGGTTTAATTGTGATTTAGCCTTCAAGTTTTTGATTTATTGCACTTTAGTTCTAAATTTCATTTTTGGATTATTTTCATTTTAGTACCTGTGTTATTTAATGTTTGTAATTTTTTATTTTGGTTTATTAACCCTTTAAATTTTTGTTCTAATTATTTTGATTCTTATAAGTTTAACTACTTATTTTATTTTATTTATTTTCTTTAAGTTATTAATCTGAAGTAAATTAATTAAATTTCAATAAACGGATCATATTTTAACTTGATATATTTGATTCAGGATATCCACCATTACGACAACGCGTAAGCGAAACAGTATTAATTTTGGGCGTTGTGGGGGTGCTAATCCTTCCCCACGCGTAACCGACTCCCGAACCCATTTTAATTGAATCTTTGGTAAACACATACTAACTTTTGTCTTAAAAAAGTTTTTTTCTTAAATTTTTTTTAAAAGACGTTTTTAGGTATTCGACCTACCTAACCCAAATGTTGATGACGACTCTATCCAATTTAATTCAAAATCACCCATTTTCCAAAATTAAAGTCGTAATTGTTGTTTTTAAAACAATTAAACAATTGTCCCGCCGAAAAACGGTTACGACAACTGTATGGCTGCTTTGTCGCTAGGTTTTATCGAAGCTGGGCTTTCGGATATTCATCATTTGAACGCAACTCTTTCTTTGGTGAGAGAGTATTAGTGGACGTATGTAATCTTTGAATCGGACTCAACACTTGTAGTCAACAAGCTATCTCGACCGGAGGAGGACTTGTCCATGTTAGGTTATCATATTCGAGAAGCTCGTAGGATTTTGGATGCTAATTTAAATTACAAAGTGTGTTTTGTTCCTATAGTTTGTAATATTATGGCACATACATTGGCTAAGCTAGGTCGTTGGTTTGAAAATGCCTTGTATTTTGACTTGGATTGTCCCGAGATTATTACGCTACTATAACTAATGACTCTTCTTCTGGTAATACAAGATACTATGACATTATTTTCCCCTTATAGGTGTTAGATCGGTTTTTTTAATGAGGTACGTTTTCTTAATAAAAATATATGAATCTAGATACAGTAACAAAGGTAATATACAATAGAAGCATTTGAAAACACAAATAAATATTTTGTTTCCAAAAATCATCTAATTAACAAGGAAGAATTCATTCTTCCTTCCTGTTTGCAATTGTGAGAAAGACCTCAACAGTGAATCTGACAATCTATCCAACTGTCTAATAGATTGAGGAATATTCGATGTTGAAGAAGAAGCTTCCCCACTGTCATCTATTAAGTATATGCAGCTGATCCATTGACAAAGATCGCTTCAACCCTGTGCTCAAATGGCTTGTTTTGTTTTCTCTAGGGAACACCGAGGACACAAAATGTCTTGGCAAAACATTCGACCGAATCCCGGAAGTCGAAGCCGCCCGGTCGCCTCCGTGTTCGACATCGGCGGTTAGCGCAGCGACGGGTGTTCGTCAAATAGGACAGCAAGATAGTTTCGAGTAATTGACGTTCCACTCCACCGACGAATCTTCCGCCACGACCATCCTCTTCACCTCGCCGCCGCAGGCAGTATTTGAGGAGCAACCAGTGGTAAACAATTAGTGCTAGAAAAGTGGCGACTACACCTCCCAAAGAAATCAACAATGGAGCCAGAAAAGAGCCAGAAACTTGATCTCCATTTGCAGGTTCCATGGTTCCACCATCTGCAGAATTTTGCTGCAGGGTAGAGGGATTGTGGAAACTTAAAAGATGGTAGACTGTATGGGTCAATGGAGTGAGTTGAACTAGAGTGTACGAGACCTGAACTAGAGTTTTACAAGTGGCATTCTAGGGTTTGGGGGTGCACGTATATGGTGTCTAATTGGACAAGTGTCGATGCCTTTGTGGAGGATGACGATTCATATCTTATTTTAGCCCTACCCTATTCAATATATAATTAATAAACAAAAATGGCGTGGCTTTGGCGGTTAAAAAAATAGGGTATTTGGATGATTATACCAATAAAATTTTAGGGTAA